AGCAGCCACCGGCGCCGGCAGCGGTGGCGGCTACTACAGCGGCGACAGCAGCGCGTACTACCGCTCCGGCGCCCCTCACAAGGGCCGCAAGAAGATGTGGTGGATCATCGGCGCCGTCGCCCTCGCCGTCATCGGAATCGGCGCAGGCGTCGGCATCTACCTCGCCAAGCGCGGCGACAACTCCTCGTCCGGCTCAGCCTCGGGCGCAGTCAAGTCGGACCCCAACGACCCCAGCAAGTTCGACAAGGATCCGAGGCTTCACCAGTCCCTCTACGGTCTCTGCTATACCCCGCTAAACTCACAGCTACCGTCCTGCGGCGATACGCTGGAGCAGGTGATCGAGGACGTGCAGATCATGTCGCAGCTGACGAAGCGGATCCGCACGTACGGTGCCGACTGCGACGTGCCGGCGCTGGTGCTCGAGGCGATTGCCAAGACCAAGGTCGACATGGAGGTCTTCCTCGCCGTGTGGGTCGACGACAACGCCGTCACCTACAAGCGCCAGGTCGACTCGCTCACGGCGGCACTCAAGCAGCACGGCGCCGACCACGTCGCCGGTGTCATCGTAGGCAATGAGGTCTTGCTGAACGGCGGCTCGGTGTCGGACCTGGTGTCCAAGATGTCGGACATGCGCACGACGCTGGCCGGTCTGGGGCTGAGCAAGACGCCGCCTGTCGGCACGTCGGACGCCGGCTCGATGATGACGGCGGCGCTGGGCGAAGGCTCCGACTTTGTCTTTAGCAACACGCACCCGTGGTTTGGCGGCACGCTCGTCAGCGACGCAGCCGGTTGGACGTGGAGCTACACGCACAACCAGGAGCCCTCGACGGTGCTGTCGGCGCCCAACAAGCCTACGGTCTACGTCGGCGAGGTCGGCTGGCCGACGGGCGCCAACGAGACGCGCCTCGAGACGTACGAGGGCGCCGTGGCCGGCGTGCCGCAGCTCCAGACGTTCCTCGACACGTTTGTCTGCGAGTCCAACACCAACATCACCGCCGGCACGGGTCAGCCCTACTTCTACTTTGAGGCATTCGACGAGCCCTGGAAGGACGCCCAGTTTGGCGGCGTCGAGGCGCACTGGGGCCTGTTTACCAAGGACAAGAAGCTCAAGGACGGCATCACCATCCCCACGTGCATCTCGCCTTGAGGGGCGCGCCGTCTTGCTTGCTCGCTTGTCGCTTGTTTCGCAATCCCGTCTCGCGTCCTCATCCAGGCCTCCGAGCCCGCACTAGGCCCGCTCTTCCTCGTCTGCGTTCAGCTTGCACGGGTCGAGCTGGGCCGCGCTGCGCCGGGCCACGCCTCGCCACGCCACGCCTACGGACGATTGTCGCCATGGACTTCTCGTTGTTTCTTGTAATCTATCCGCCTCGTCCCCGCCTGTATCCATGTGTCCGAATGTCTAGCCTCAGCCACGTCGACAAACGCGATCCATCTCCGTCGTCGCGGTCGCCGTATCTTTGTACCTGCGAGACGGACTGTGATGCCACACCGCCTCTCCTAGTCTCATCTCACTTGTAATCACATCGATCCTCTCTCGAAGCTGCTCTGAGGGAGGGTAAGAGAAGGTGGCAAGACAACCTAGCAGAGACGGCGAGGTTCGAGGAGGGTGCAGGATGTAACGGTAGGGCAGGAGGGCACGACAGAGGACGGAATCGACCATCGGCCCCCTCGACATCGTCGTCGGGCAGAGAGAGAGACAAGATCGGACCTGGAATCGAGAACTAGACAGACATGTGTGCGTGGATGCGAGCGAGGGGCGATGAAGGCGGTGGTGGCGGTCGAGGTGGTTGTTGGTGTGGGCGTGGGCATGGTGGAGGTGTTGGTGTTGGCGGATCGGGTGTCCGTGCCCTGGCCAACGTCTGCGCTGCTGTCACTAAGACCCAGGCGAAACTGGCAGCTGCCAGCTGGCACAAGGCAAGACTCTCGCTCCTCCGCCCCCCACTTTCCGAGTTGGCAGCACGTCGACCTTTTTCCTTCCGCCTGCCTTTCCGCCTCCATCTCGACCAGTCTGCGACCACCATCCCAAGCGCCACCAGTGTCAGACCTCCTACCTCCTACCTCCATCCCATCGACTGCGATCTCGCACAGTACCTCTGGCCATTCCCACCGCAACCCCGCCTTGAACGCCTTACAGGATGCCCGCATTGACCAAGCAGGCATCGGGCTCGTCGACGGCGGCCGACCAGGCCTCTAAGCCGGAGCGCATCTACGTCAACAACGCCGATCTGGGAGAGCTCAAACTGACGTGCGATGAGGCCGTCGAACGCGTGAGTCGGCCCGGTCAGGAGCCCCGCTGCCGCACCAGGTCGTACTGCACGCTGACCACCGACGCCTCCCTCGACCCGCCCCTGCAGATCCTCACGCGAGACCACAGCAGCAGCTCTACGACGACCACGACCTCCTCAGGTGCCTCAAACGATGGCAGCGCTGCGCCGGCCGACTTTCCGGCCTTCAAGGCGAGCCACTTTCATACCGACCTCCGCCTCGCGCTCGGGTACACGGCCGCCGTCGTGATGATTGGCACCACCCTCTGGGCCTACTTTATCGAGAAGGAGTGGGAGAACAACAAGCGCGCCTGCGGGTTCGCCGTTGCCGTGTGAGTATCGAGGTCAAGGGGGTCGGCCAGCGTTGGCCGGGCAGAGACGAGAAGCCATTCGAACTTCCGGCTGACCGCCCTCGCTGCCCCTTCCTGCGACGCAGCTACGCCGTCCTGTCGGCCGTCCAAGCCGTCGACTCCTACCTTCAGGGCAACACAATCTTTGTCGGCAAGCGGAGGATGCTCTCCAAGCGGGTGCGTTTGCGGTCCTCGCCAGGTACGACTGCCGACCGCCGACATGTGACGTCTCACCTTGTCACCCTGCTTCCGCACCTACTCTCCGTGCCTCGCCTTGCAGATCGAGACCGAGAACCTGAAGATCGTCTCGCCTGCGTTGGGCCGCTCGCAGGAGACCGAGTACCTCTCGCGCGAGGGCAAACCCGTGCTTGCGCCGCCCAACTACTCGCTCAAGATCGACTACACGCGCAAGAGCAACGGCGGCAAGAGCCTGCTCGGCAGCAAGAAGGACACGTTCGTGCTGGGCCATCTCGGTGAGTAGAGTCGCCGCACGACAGACCGCGCTCTCTGCACGACGCCCTGTTGTGCCTGAATCCATGCTGACCGTTGCGGACCGGCCTCGCTCTTCGACGCCCCGCCAGGCGAGTGGTTCACCGAGGATGGCGAGTTTATCGAGTCGATATTCGAGGAGCGGCTCATCTCGGGCCTGCAGAAGGCGTTCGGCCAGTGAAGCGAGGGAGGGGCGAAAGAAAAGGCACGACGACGTGCCGAGGAGTAGTTGAGAGACGAGAGTCGACATTCGAGGCAGGCAGGAAGGTTTAGAGTCTTGCGGAGGAATCAGGAAGATGGGGCCAGAAAGGGGTAGGCGGAGGCCGAGGACGCGGCGGCGATGCCGTCCATTTGCGATACCCTGCACTCAATCCAACACGCGCTTCCTCTGACGACGTGCGAGCCAGGTCACTGATGCTGCTGCTGCTGCCGTGGAGGTTGTGCGCGCCTAAGGCGCTGTCGTCGTCGTCGTCGTCGTCGTCGTCGTCGTTGCCGCCATCACAGACTTGGCCAGGCAAGGCGAGCAGGATCCGCGGCATCTGAGGCAGGGACTGCTTACGTGGTGCTGACGCGTGCGAAGAGCCGGCTGGGGGAGCCAGCATGCGGCCACGTCGGCGTAGATGTCTCAAGCGCGCGCGCGAGGCCAGATAGAGGGCGGCGCTGGCTTGCCAGGCCAGGCCAGGCCAGGCCTAGGCCTGCTTTTGTCTGGAGGCGGCCAGCAGCGCGCTTGCTTGCTTCCTTGGAAGAAGGGGGAGGCTGCACCACCGACAGCTCGGCAAGCGGCTGGGCGCCTTTGTGCTGCTGGCGGTTGCAGCTGCTGCTGGGTTGCGCAGCCTGGCCCCGCTGGCCCCGGGAGCTGCTGGCTGGCCTTGGCTGCCCTACCCGCTGCAGCCACCACGCCTCCATCATCAGCGCGCCACGTACGCGGAGCTGTAGACGCACGGCCGGGCCTGGCGCGGCCACACACACCAGCACAAACCAGGCAGGCTCCCAAAACGTCGGTCATAGCCCCGGCATCGGCTTTCCTGGGGACGGGACCCAATGCTCCACCTCCTGATGCGCAGGGACCGAGCGGTGGAGAAAGAGCCAGGCTAGGCTACGCTGAGCTAGCAGGTCTTGAGAAGAAGACCGCGCGCGCCGGTGGCCACCTCTCGTGCTGAGCCACCAGTCCCGCGCATCAAAGGGAGCGCACGCTAGACTGCATGCAATCTTCCACCCGGCTCGCTGGCTGACTGACCGGCTGGCCCCAGGGTGGCACGGTGCGGCAGGCACGGCCCCTCGGCGCCACTCTACACGCGCGTAGAGTATGTACAAGCCAAGCCGCCTGGTCTGGTCGGCAGCACCGTATCGCTTGGTGGTATGATGGCAGAGGCCCAGAGGCGGCGCGGTGGAAGCGAGGAGGCCGGCTGCTCGCCGTTGGTGCGTCGAGCTCCGCTCCGCTGGGCGCGGGTGTGCGTGCGTGCGTGGGTGCGTGGGTGCGCGTGCGCCTGGGTGCGTGTGTGTGTGCAGCAGAGAACAGATAGAGGGCCAGGTCGAGAGCCTAAGCAAGGATAGACTACTGGGCAGGCTAGGGGTCAAAGGGGAGGCCTAGGGATGGAAGGGCCCGCCAACCCCGACCTACACTCGCTCGCTCGTCTTTCATGCTCCCTCGCCCGCCCGCACCGCCGCACGCCCCTCTTGAGCAGAAGCCTCTTGGCCGGCCGTGAGAGCGCAGATGGACACATCAGATGCTTTCCCGACCCGCGGCGGCTCCCTTGGCCACCTCGACGCTGCGGTTGGCTACTACTACCTGCTCCTGCTCCCCTTTGCTTCCCGCCACCACTCTCTTGATCCTCACTCGAGCCCACCACCATAGCCCCGCCCCCACACAGCTTCACTCGCCCTCGCTCGCTCTCTTGACACTTCTCTCACAGCGCACGGCAGCGGCCACACCTTGGCCAAGCGTCCGAGGCCTGTCCCCGTCGACTTTGCTCCTCGGAGCGCCTGCCGTCCCGCCATACAGCGGTCACGCCACGCGCTCTCGCTCTCACCTCCGACCCCCTTGCCTTGCCGGCCAGTTGCCTCTCCCTCTCGCGCGCCCCATCACTCCTTCCGCCACGCACCACGGAGCAGACGACAGACGGCATGGCAGCCGTCCTCAATAGACAGCATCCCACCATGGGCGCCCAGCACGGCATCGCCGCATTCCGCTCCAAGTTTAAAAAGGCCAGCCCCCAACAGCCAGCCTCTGGCGGCCCCGCGGCCGCTTACACGGTCGGCAACCAGTCCAGCATCGCCCTCGGCGAATCGGGTCAGAGCAGAAAGAGGGGCTTCTCCCTCCGCAGCAAGATGCGCCTGGGCAAGGTGAGTGCCACCACTCTCTCGCATCCCTATCAGCACCGCCTCTTTCCCCTGACACCCGACCACCTGATTGTGCCTCCCCCATCGCGTCTTTCCTCGTCCCACGACGCTACAGCCCCAACGGGCGCCCGCGGTGCCGCAGCTCCCACCCGCCCTCGAACTCGACTTTGATCGCCCGGCTCTCGATGCGCCGAGCCAGCCAGAGATCGGAGCACATGCCCGCCCTTCCCCCACACCTGGCGCCGCTCAACCGCCCACCGCCGCCGCCCTCGTTGCGGCCGAGGCCATCGCCTCTTCCTCTTCGGCCACCAAGCACGTCCCCAGGGCCCGCCAGCTCGTAAAGGCCCTCGAGGCCATGGCCAACGCCAGGCTCGACGTCGCTCAGGTGCGCGACCTGGCCAGCCTGTGCGCCGAACAGATCAAGCAGCGCGGCCTCGACACGACCGGCCTCTTCCGGTCCTTCCGCGTCGCCCAGTCCCAGGACGACATCGACCGCCTCATCCAGCTGTTCCTCGTCCACATCAACCCCACCGCCTACGCCAGCGTCTTTGCCGTGCTGCCCGACGACGCGCTGGCGAGGCTCTGGCAGCGCCCCGAAGAAGCCCCCGACAAGTCCAGGGCGGCACTCGACGAGCTCGAAAAGGAACTGCGCTACACCTCGATCCACAACGTCGTCGCGCTGCTCAAGTGGGGTCTGCGCCATCTGCGCCTGCGTACGACCGACTTCAACTCGTCCGACCCTTACGGCTGGTACGACGCCTTTGTCGCTGCCGAGAAGAAGTCGGGCTACCACCCGCGAGCCATTGCCGACCTCCTGCACCCGACCCTGCCCCAGGAGACGGCCGAGCTGCTCGTACAGATGCTCGAGCTCATGGCCAGGGTGGCGGCCCACCACAACCACATGCCTGCGTCGGAGATCTGCAGCATCCTGGGCTTCTGGCTGTTTGGGAGGATCGGCGTTGCCCACCCGCCGCCGACGTTCCCGGAGCTGCAGGCCGCCTGGCAGACGGCAACGTCTGTGGCCGAGCACCTCCTGCTCGCCCACATTCGCTCGCAGGCCGTCGTCACCTTTGCCATGCCCCTGCGCCTGACCGAGCTGGTCCAGGACTATCCGTCCATCAAGGACGGCTCGCACTCGCCTGGCTTCCCGCCCGCGTATGCGCGGAGGCAGGTCAGCACCCTCAGGATCGATCTGCGGTCCGAGAACCTCGTCGTGTCGCCGATGCGACCGCGCCTGCCTTCGGCCACCTTGGCCTCTGCCCTCGACGCCTCGGCCTCCGAGCAGCTCGAGGGAGGCCGCGGGGAGACGTGGGCTGCTGTGATCGGTCAGCTCGCCTCCGACGCCACGGAAGGCGACAAGGGCAAAGAGCTGCTGATCCCGGAGCACGCCCGGATCCTGGACCTGGTCGATGCTCAGATTGCCGCCAGGATCAAGCATCAGGAACAGGCCGAGGAGGCGTCTCGGCCGCCGGCTTTCGGAATTTCGCCATCGTCCGCCGAAGGCGACCGAGACTCCCTCTCTCCTCAGTCGACGTATCGCAGGTTCTCGCGGTCTTACAGCGACCTGCGTTCGACCAAGCCCCTGGCTACGCTGAGCGAGGACGAGGGTCCCGGCGGCGCCAGTAGGGAGCGTCGCCCGCGACCTCCTCCTCTCGCTGCCTCGGCTGCCAGCGCGGCTCGTGTCAGCCGTGATGCTTCGGTCTCGCAGCAGAGCACAGAGGGGGGCCCTCCCCCGGCCACCAGCACCGACAGTGCTAAGTTCAAGCGCCTCTCGACGGAGTGGCGTTCCTTTTCCGAAGGAGGCTTCAGTTCCGAGGCCACGGCCGTCGAATTGTCGCTCGACGAGTTTGATCTCAAGCCGGTCAGCTCGAACAACTCGCAGACGCTGCCCTCGCGCAAGGGAGCCGCCCGCCGATCGGGTTACTCGGGCGGCTCGCTGGGCCGCCGACGCTCCAACCGCGGAGAGCTGCCCGCCTTCGGCCTCGCCGATGCTGCGCCGGCAAAGCCTCCGCCGCCACCCGCCTTTGTCGTCACCTCGGTCGCAATGACGGCGATGGACACGTCGCTGACGACGCTGTGGCAAGACTCTCTGCTCGACAACTCGCTCTGCTCGACGCTGCCTCCGCTCGTGCTGGTGCAGCTCGACGAAAAGGTCGCGGCCGAGGCCGACCTGCTCGGCGGCTACGCAAAGGACGAGCGGCCCTGGCTCCTGGTCGTCGAGACGGTCCTCCCACCGCGGCCGCCTACGCCCACCGACGACGGCAACAAGGGCCGCGGCGGGCGGGGCGACGGCCACAGCATCTCCGACAGCCGCAGCATCTTTGCGCCCAGCATCCGCAGCGTCAAGCTCCACCTCCAGCGCAGGATGAGCATGCTCTCGTCCAAGTCGCGCACCAAGCGAGCCGAGGCCAACGACGTGGCCGAGGTCCAAGAGCCGCCCGTGCCAAAGACTCCGGTCATGCCCGGCGGATGGACCTAGGGCCTCGCTCGCTTTGCCGACCCGGGCTTGATCTGCATCGTCCAGACTCTGCCGTCACCGCCTCAAGCACCACGCTCCCACGCCGGAACGTTTCGGCCCCCTCACACTCTCACACTTCCGCACTCCCACACTCCTTTGCACGGTCGAATACTGCCTCGAATTCGTCGACGGACGGGCCTTCTTGTGGCCTCGTCACCTAGGTACCGGGCGGTGCTGCGTTACGAGTCGGATCCTGACCTCGATTCCTGGCGTCGCTGTTGCGCGGCCATCGCGCTCGCGCTGTGCGGCCGGCCGGCCGCCTAGACTACTCTCATTTTCTCGCTCGCGCTACGGCGATGTTGTACTATCCTCGCTCCTTTGCCTCTCCCTGCCTCGTCAATGCCCGATACCCCCATTGCTGCGCTGCTCCGTGTCGTGTCGTGTCGTGTTTGGCTGCAGGCCGCTGGTGCGCGATCTCGTGGTAGAAGTCGAGTGCATCCGCGACGGTGTGAGGCGGGCGCGGTTGGTGTTGCAAGATTTGTCGGGTCGGCCGTATCCGAACGGGTCGATCCTGGAACGTCGTGACGGATCCCGGCGACGGGGCGGGACGGGGAGGGGCGGTGGGCCCGGCAGGCTCAGCACTGCTTGGCGTATCCGCGGGCCTTTACGCCGCTTCCCTTGGCGAGGGAGCCGTGGTGCTTGTCGTGTGCGACGTTGTGGTGGCCGGCGCTCTTTCCCTTTTCCTGCGGGTGGTGCTCGGTGGGGTCAAGCTTGTCGAGGTCGGCCTTGGACGTGTGGTTGCCGCTCGACGCGGCGCCGTGGCTGGCGAGCTTGGCGAGGCTGTGGTCCTGCTCGAGGCCCTCGGTGATTGAGAGGATGTCGACGAGGAGCTGCTCGACCATGGTCTCGCTGAGGTTCTCGCGCACCACGACGCGCAGGATGTCGATCTGCTCCAGGTCGGGCGACAGGCCGTAGTTGGGCACGATCCAGCCCTTGGCGCGCAGCAGCGTCTGCACCCACCTCTGCTCGAGGTTGGGGTTGCGCTCGCGGTACGCCTTGCTCCAGCGGAATGACACGACGGGCAGGCCGGGCGTGTAGTGCTCCGCCTTGGACTCGTCCGGGTCGCCCCCCTCGATGGGGTGGTGGATGTCGCTCAGCACCTCGTACATGCCCGACATGTCGAGCGCTCGCGCCAGCAGGCGCGCATTCTGCAGGTCGCCCTGCATCACGCGTCGGTAGCCCTCGAAGCCCAGGTTGATGAAGTTGAACAGCTGGCCGATGACTGTCGAAGAGGCGGGTCGTGAGACGGTGCAGTGCCGGGGGGATGTCGCAGGCGTGGTCAGCGTGGCCGGTCGATGACTTTAGCGCTGACCACTTTAGCAGGCCGCTAAAGTGGGCGACTTTAACGCGTCGCTAAAGTGGGCCGCGCGAGCGAGGGGCACGGCGCGCCAACCCTCCTCCTCTCTCTCCACTCACCGGGATGGGCGGGCCTCGAGAAGTTGAGACCGAAGCTGTACTCGACAGAGCCGAGGTAGTGCAGCTCAAAGATGAGCTCCTTGGGCACCATTTCCTCGGAACGGAAGAGGATCCATCCAAGGCCTGCGGGCCGACGCGGAGCGGGGCGGGATGGGGCGAGGCCAGACAGGGCGAGCAAGCGGCGGCAGCAGCGGTACGGTGGCAGAGGCAGGCGACAACATCAGTCAGCAACAAGATCTCGCCAGGGCGGGCGCAGGCAGCCGCCTGGCAGGTCTCGGCAAGCTGCAGGGTCGGTGACACGTGCTCCCGGAGGTCGGAGGGGACGGACAGGCCGCCGATGCTCACCGGGGTAGACCATGCCGAACTTGTGGCCGCTCGTGTTGATGCTCTTGACGCGCGGCAGCTCAAAGCTCCACTTGAGGTTGGGCGTGGCAAAGGGGGCCACCATGGCGCCCGACGCGCCGTCGACGTGGATGGGGATGTCGATGCCTGTCTTCTTCTCGTACTCGTCGAGCAGCTTCGACATGCCCTCGACGTCCTCGTAGTGGCCCGTGTAGGTCGAGCCAAGGATCACGACGACGCAGATGGTGTTCTCGTCGACCATGTCCATGGCCTTGTGGATGTCGAGGCAGTAGCGCGACTTTTCGCTGCGGCGCGGGCAAAGAAAAAAGGCGGGAGGTCGGTCGGCCGGTCAGCTCGCGCGTCGCGCCCGTCGCGCGTCCGCTCCCGCTCATTTCACACGCACCTGATGGGAACCAGCCTCTCCTCGACGTCAAAGTAGCGCGCAAACTTCTCAATCGCAACCTGCGCGTTGGATCCAAACACCATGTTCGGGCCAGGCTCCTTGAAGCTCTTGCCGGCCGCCTTCATGCGGTGCTGCCAGCGCTTCTTGGCCGCAAGGCATCCGAGCATGATCGCCTCCGAAGATCCCGTCGTCGCAACGCCCATCGCCGACTTGCGCTTGCCGTTCTCGTCGTACTCTTTAGGCATCTTCCACAGGTCCGCCAACATGCTTACACAGCGCGTATGTATAGCTTGGGTCGCAGGATATTCGTCTTGGTCGCACAAATTTACGTTGAGAGTGTCTTGGACGAGCTTGGTAGCGAGTGGGGGCATCCAGGTATGCACAAACGACGCCAGATTGAGCGTGGGCTTCCCGTCGAGGCTCAGCTCCGAGCTGAGTAGCTGTTCCGGGTCAAGGGGATCGGGGGAGGGTCGAGGGGAAAGAAAGGAGCGACGCGGGGTCAAGACTTACTCTGTGGTCGCGTCCAGGTATCCGCTGCTGGCGTCGGCGTACTCACCTCGTAGGTGGCCTCGGCGGATGTTCCTCGCTGGGGCAGCGTGTACTTGGGGATGGGCTCAGTCGTGTAGCGTCCGGCATGGACGCCCGAATAGAACTTGCGGTCATTGTGGCCGCCGGGACGCTTGACGAGGCCAACGAAGGGATGGTCGGCGGCCTGCTGGACCAGCTCGTCCGGGTCGATGTGCTTGGAAAGAGACATGTCGAGGTTGGTTGGTCGAGAGGGGTCCTGGGGGAGGATGTAGGGTGGTGTGAGGGAATGGGGGGGACGAGGGCAATGGGGAGGGTCGCCCGCTATATAGGGCGGCACCCGGCAGAGTGGCCGCCCGCTGTCAAGGCACCGGCGTCCGAAGGGCCCAACGCTCGTCGGGGCATCGAAAGCAGCCGTGCACCGTACCCTCACGGAGATGCAGTGGATGGGCAGACGGCGGCTCGATCGGGAGCAGACCCTGAATCATCGCCCAAAGCGGCGTGAGCCACAAGCAGGCAAGGCAGGCAGGCAGACAGGCGGCAGACGGCTAGGCGCGGCATGGCCCGGCCGTACAGACTGGCCATCTTGCTTTGGCCTGCGAATGGCCTGCCTGGGCACACGGCGTGGCCGGCGAGATCAGGCGGGCACAGGCCAGGCCAGGCCGAGCCAGGCCGAGCGACGCTCGTTCAGCAGCGCGCATGGGCCGCAAGCAGCCTTTGTCACGACGGCAGGCACACACACAGGCCGGTAGGCGGCAGTCAGCGTCGACGCTTCGGGACGCAGCCGGTCTACCGTGCCTAGCCTGCTGCCTGCCTGGCTTTCGCTGGCTTCGCCGGCACGCAGGGTCCACGGCACGAGCGCGCGTGCGTGCGTCGGTCGCGGGGCTCAACCCAAAGCAAGCCGCCGGTTGACCCCATCCCCCCGCCGCCATCCGGGTGCGTCATGCCACAGGGTCCTGCCAGATCGGCGGGCACAGTCGGTGCACAGACCCATGCCAGAGTGTCTGCCATCCTGCTGAGAGATCATCACTCGAGCATGGGCAATCAGAAGCAGCCCTCAGCACAACCAACCTGGGGAATTTGGAGGCAGCATTGATTCCCTCAAACATTCAATATCAGCAGAGAGCACCAAGAGCTGAACCACATTCACATGTCACATTCAACTGCTTGTGTAAAAGTGGTTTTCAATATGGTCTTCTGAGCACCTCATCCTGAAGCCCAGTCCCAGCTGAGCACTACCATGTTGGCATCTTGTGAGGCTCAGCAAGGAGGTTGAAGGCTTTCTCGGACCCGTTCTGTCAGGTCTCGCGAATCGACGTTCCTGTGCAGAGCGTTGTCAGAGAGCTGCGTAAGGCATCAAGGCTTGTGTTGGCAGACGATCCTACCGCACGACAAGGGAAGAGCCGGTTTGAGAGGTCTTGCAGAGCGACTGTAATCCGGGCGGACGGCCGGACGGACGGGCGGCGTCGCTGCGTTGGTTGGTAGCACAGGTTGCTCTGCTTGTCGCCGCGACGTGCAGCCGGCGACGTCCACGTTCCTCTTCTGACGAGGCGACCAAGGTCGGCTAGCCGAAAACCGCCCTCGACGTCGACGTCTTCGCCACCACCACGTGCCATCCTTTCCCTGTTTGTCGGTCCGGCCTTGTCGTCTCGCCGCTCCCCCTCTCTTTGGCTCCCCCCCACTCTCTCGCTGCGGTTCTCAAGGTGGGTGGGCGGTTGCAGAGAAGACGACAGGCGCTAGTTCAGAGGCTAGGGGAGGGCAATCTCGCTTGGCGTCTTCGCCAAGATCGACGGTCGGTGTCGCGACAACGAGGAGACTAGGGCGGCCAGGGGGCATAAATACCGCCCGTTCCACAGCGGCCCCCCGCGGTGGATGCCTGCTCGCCACCCCCGTTCTGCCTTGCTCGCCATCCCCGTTCTGCCTGGCTGCACATAGAGAGTGCCCTCGCCCTACCGACCTCGACCGAACAGGATGTTTCCCTCATCGACCAAGCTGGCCCTCGCATCGTTGGCCCTCGGGCTGCTGCTGTCGCAGCGCGGCGGCGGCGGCGGCGGCGGCGGCGTGGCGGCCATGAAGCTCGAAGGCGGCGACCCGATGGGCGTCAAGGCTTACGACCTCTACGGCGGCCGCAACGCCTCGATCCTCCAGTACCCGGCCGACTTCAACCGGGGCACGTTCCCGCTGCCGGTGCACTGCCACAACTGCTACGAGACGAGCGGCTCGGCCTTCTACGGCGCGCTGGCCTACGGCGCGCGGAGCCTCGAGAGCGACGTGTGGCTCAACCCCGCCGACAAGGAGCTGTACGTGGGCCACGACCCGTTTTCGCTGACGCGGGAGCGCACCTTTGACGCGCTGACGGTGCAGCCGCTGGTCGAGGTGCTGGAGCAGGCCAACCGGGCCAACATTGCCCAGAGCGACGGCGACGAGGCGCGCTTCTTCGCCGAGCTGCAGCGCAGCCTCAAGACGCCGCAGACGTTCCCCGTCAACGGCTACTTTTCGCTCGGCGTGGGCTCGACGGCGCCCATCCAGCTGCTGGTCGACATCAAGACCGACGGCGCCACGACGTGGCCCTACGTCGTCAGGGCGCTCGAGCCGCTGCGCAAGCGCGGCTGGCTGACGCGGTACGAGGACGGCAAGCTGATCCCGGGCCCCGTGCTGGTGATTGGGACGGGCAACACGCCCATCGACCAGGTGGCGCCGCTGCGCCGCCGCGACGTCTTCTTTGACGGCCCGCTGGGCAACCTGTCTGCGCCGTTGGTCATTGACGGGACGAGGTACGAGTGGAACTCGACGCTGTCCCCCCTCGCCTCGGGCTCCTTTTCCAAGATCGTGGGCAGCTACAAGGGCCTCGACGAGCCGAGCGCCGAGGTGCTGGCCAACATCTCGCGGCCCATTGACGAGGCCCACGCGCGCGGCATCCAGACGCGGTACTGGGACAGCCCGCAGTGGCCCGTGTTCGCGCGCAACCGCATCAACCACCTGATGCTCTCCGCCGGCTCAGACTGGATTGGGTCCGACGACCTCGAGCACATCTCCAAGTGGTAGAGGCGGCGCGGCGTGGCGCGCGAGGATCGAGGCGACGATGTAGATGGAGCAGCGGCCGTAGAGTGACATGGCCGCGGCGCCGCAGGGAGTCCAAGTAGAGGCGATCTGCGAGGCGAGGCGGCGACGGCGATGGCGACGGGCGATGGTGTCGGATGGAGATCCGATCTGAAGATGGCCATCTCGGCAGCCTCGACGGCGAGGGGCCGACCTGTCGGATCTGCTGTGGACCGTCTGTCGGAAATAGAGGCCGGCCCGCCTAGCTGATCTGCTCGCGTAATGCTTAGACAAATGCCCCCAGCTGTCTTGCATGCTTGCTTTGCGAGGCTCAGACGGTCTTCACCTTGGAGCGCCGCATCGTTTGGTCTGAATCGATTCGAGGCTCGGGCAGCTCAGGCCAAAGTGGGCAGTGGAAGGCGAGCGAGAAGTGGCCTGGATAGGTCATGGTCATGGTCGGTGGTTGGTCAGCGGCGCGGCGGTGGTTGGTCGTGGCCGCGACGGGCAGCGCTGACTGTGGCACAGCCAGCAGGCAGGCCGACGGGCGAGGTTAAGTCCGCGGCCGGCGCCGGCTTTTTGGTGGGGGGCGGGGGCGGGCGGCGCCCGAAGGCGTGCGTGCGTGAGTGCGTGGGTGTGCAGCGGGAAAGGTGAGTGAGCATGCGAACGCTCTGGCTGCCTTGGCCCTGGCCGTCATCGTCTTGTGGTACGCACGCGTGCAGGCTCGCAGCCGTACCTGGCGGGACGGTATGTACGGTGCCCTGCCCAGCCGGGCGGGACATCCTCGTTGCCACACGACCATCACCCTTGTACCAGTCGCCACCACCATCACCACCATCGTCACCACCACCACCATCACCGCCACCACAACATTCGCAGCACAGTCGCCCCTGCACAGCGAGCGAGCGACACTCGACCACCACCACCACCACCACCACTGCCCCCTCACGCCCTACGAGGCACCCCCCCCCCCGTAGCCTGTTGCTGGGCCGCGTCGTCTGCCCACCATTCCGCGCTCCCCCTCCATCAGCCTCCTTCGCCGAGGCCTTCCCCTGTCGTCGTCGACGCCTGCAGCTGCAGCAGCAGCGGCAACGACAAGCACAACGACAGCCACCGTGCCGTCCGTCCGGGCCGCCTCGTCTTCCTCGCAGCCCATCTCGGACGAGCAGATAAGGTCGATGCTCGGCATGGAAAAGTCGGTCAACGTCCTCGGCCAGCCGCTGCAGGTCTGCGGCACCGACCCCGTCACTGGCTTCTTTCGCGACGGAGTGAGTAGTCCTTGCCCGTCCGCTCACTCGCTCGTTGGCCCTGCTCCGTCTCTCAAGCTGACCGTTCCCCTGCCATCCCAATCCACTCCATCTCTTCGCAGTACTGCAACACATCGCCCTCGGACTCGGGCGCCCATACCGTCGGAGCCGTCGTATCGTCTTCCTTCCTCGACTTTTCCGCTTCGAGAGGCAACGACCTCCGTCCCATCCTGAAGGACGGCTGCAGCTGGTGCCTGTGCGTGTCGCGCTGGAAGGAGGCCCTCGACGCCCACCGCGCCGGTCAGCTGCCCTCGCACGGCGTACCCAGGGTCAAGCTCGACGCCACTCACCAAAAGGCTCTCGACAAGGTCACCATCGACGACCTCAGGGCTTTTGCCCTTGACGACAAGGATGGTCAGAGGGGCGGGCCCATCAGGTGAACGCGATGGGGGGCCGCCTCTCCTCCCTCCTCCCAAGATCGGACACCTTCGTCCATCGACATAGGCGTGCGTAGGCATAGGCATAGGTAGTGTCGCGTCGGCGGTTGCGGTTTTGGGCTTTCTCTTCTATCGTGCATGTGCGTGTGTATACTCTTCTCCCGGCACCCGGTCTGGCTTCTACTCAGACGGCGGAAACGCACACCTGGCAAAGACCTGGCAGGAATCTAGCATCGACCGGACCCTCATCTCCACCGCCGCACCCTTGGCCGCCGCCGCCGCCGCCGCTGCAAGGCCAAGTCGCTCGAGGTCGAGGTCGACAAAGGCGGCCTCGGTGCGCCGCGCCTCCCTCGTCGCCGTGCCGATCCACACCTCGTCGCTTTGCTGCTGCGCGTGCGTTTCGCCGTCCGCCGCCGCAGCAGCAGCAGCAAAGACCTGGTAGTAGGGCGTGGCAGGGTCAAAGTCGTTCCATGCCAATCGGAACGTCACTTTGCTCCCCCCGGCGCCGTCTCGGGGGCGTTGGACGAGGGTGCACGTGCACGTCGGGTCGACGAGCGCCGTGGATGGCTCGCCGACGTCTGGTGCGGCGCTGCTGCCGCTGCTGCTGGGAGGAGGGCCCACCTCGACGCTGCCGAGCAGCAGCGCGCCCGTTCCTCGACCTTGGAGGTGGAGGCGCAGGACGAGGAGGCCGTCCGTCTCCGTTCGTGTAGGGGCGAGGCGGAAGCTGGTTTCGGCCCGTCGCCACCCACCGCCGACGGAGGACGTGTGCCGACTCGCCTCGACCTCCTCCAGCACGCTGCCCTCCGCTGTCAGTAGACGTGGTCGTGCCTCGTTGCCCTCGTCGGTCATCCCGTCTTTCTCTCCGCGAGTCGACCCTGCGCCGTCGAGATCGAGGAAGCGGTAGTGGACGCAAGCCCGCAGCACGCCATCCTGTCGCGGGATCGCAGACAGGGCCACGGTCGAGATGGGGACCTCCCACGCCGCCTGTCCCAGCGTCAGCTGCAGCGAAACGTTGCCGCTCCACGCGAATTGCTCGTTCAAGCTCCACGATACCGACGTCCCCGGCTCGGTGGCAGCATGATAGAGCAGATCGGGCTTGGGCATCGAGACGCCCTGATCCGCCCATCCGAGCAGCTTGTCGTTCTCGTTCTGATCCGCCTCGACGGCGAGGTCAGACGATGAACCACCCTCGGTCTTGCTCCAGTCGTAGACGCACCGACCAGCGACGAACCAGCGAACTCCCGATCCAAGGCCAAAGTTGGTGTAGTACGCAGGTCGCGCCATCCTGGCCAGGCGGTCGGGGCGCTGAGTCAGCGGTGGGAAGAACGACGAGATCGGCGGCGGTGGTGTGGCAGCAGTCGAGGCGGGAACGAGCGAGGTCGAGGGATGCGGCGAGGAAGGGCTTCCGATCCAGAAGCGGCAGTCCTCTTCGAACCAATGTGCCCAGCTGCGTCCCTTCAAAGGGTCGCGCTTGGGCTCGTCGTGCTCCCACGTCCAGCCAGGGGCAAATAGGGCGACGCTCAGCCCCAGACTGGACGCGGGCAGAGGGGATCCGCTGGCTTGGCTCGACAGCCGACGGGAGGCAATCATGTCGAGCGACTTCCAGCTCTCCATGCCGCCATAGCAGTTGCGTCCAAAGACGTCGATGCCGACCAGCACGTCGTGCCTCTTGCGACCGATGTAGTCCGCCATCGCTGCCGAGATCTGGAGCGCCGGATGGAAACCGCCATCATGGGGCCCGGTGAGGCCGTAGCCCTCGAGCTGCCTCTGCTGATGCGGCTGGAGAGCCTCCTTGAGCATGCCCGGTGGCAGCTGGACCGGGGGTTTCGCCCAGGTGTAGTTGGTGAAGATGCTGCTGGCCACCTGAAGGAAGGGCGCATTGTGGGGGGTCAGGGCATCCTGCCACGCCAGGTCGCCGTTGGCTGTGACGCTGTCGTACCAGATCACCTGCCAGTCTGGGCAGCGCCTTTCGCCCTCTCGCCGGAGGTACTCGACCCAGGAGCGCAGGCGGTCGGCGTTTCTCTTCATCTCGTTGCGACGCGCCGCCTCGCCGATCCACGGTGGCCAGGCCTCGCCGGAGCACGAGAAGCCGAGGTTCAGCCCGACTTCCACGTTGATAAGCCAGCCGGTGAAGCCGCAGGCGAGGGCGAGCGAGATGAGGAGGTCGGCATAGTAGGGTGAGAACGAAGCGGGCCCCCTGTGCGGCAGCCTGGATCGCGAGGGACCGCGGAGGAGGTGCGAGAGCGAGGGGATCGACTCGGACCATTCAAAGATGCTGCAAGGCGCGATGGGGCGGCGAAGACGGTCGAGGCGGCAAGCGGTTCAGCCACTGCATTCACCTATAGCACCTTGTAGAAGAAGGTGAAATGAGCCCGCACAGGCGCCTCATCACTCACAGTGTGCCGATGATCTTGGTGCCGTGTCTGTTGGCTGCCTCGACCCAGCCGACGGGAGGTAAGGATATGCGGTGGTGTGCAAAGTAGATGAAGGTGTCGGCGAGGTGCCAGTGCTCGAACGAGTAGCCCCGCCGATCCGGTCTCTCCGAGTATCCGCCCTGGAAGTCGTGGCAGACGATGAGGCGGGGTCGGGGCGGTTCGCGGACAGCAAGGGTGGAGTGCTGCGATGGCGGGTAACAGGTGAGAAGGCGGTCGTGCTGCGAGCGTTCTGGGGGCGAACCGAGGTGGGCATCTGCCCACTGCCCTAGCTGGCCGAGGGATGTGAATAAGACAGGCCGCGGAGGCGGTCGAGACGAAGCAGCGGGTCCAGATGCCGAAGGAGTGGTGGCGATGCGTTCGAGGTGTGGGCCGAGGGGCGAAAGGTGAGAGTCTAGCCGTGACCGAACATCATCTGGCGGATCAAAAGGTTGCGAAGGCATCGTAGCGTCGAGCAGGCAGCCGCGACTGCGAATACGATTGCTTTTGCCCCTGCAGTCGCCTTGTCTTTCGGCGATGTTGTATGGTGGTGGGGGTGGTGGTGGTGATGGTGATAGTGATGCAGAGGAAGACGAAAGCTGTTGCGTCGGAGCCGGGGGCGCGCGCCACGGTTGAAGGGTCCGTGCATCGCTGCAGCCGGATGTGGAGGGGGTTCTCGCCGCCACCACCACCACCACCACCACCACCACCACCACCATCACCACCATCGCCGCCTCGCTTCTTGCTTCTCGACCAACACCGGCCGGCTCCTTTCTCGCAGTCCCCCATCACTACTGCCTCTACCTCTACCGTCGCTGTCATCGCCAGCCGTTCAGCATGACCTCCGGAAAGCCAGTCAAGTCCTTCAAGAACCCCTCCGGCGATCTCGCCGACTCGCCATCCAGCCACGTCAAGGCTCTCCTCGACAATGTCATGGCCGCCAAAAAGCAACTAGGCACCGCATCCAGCGACGACTATGCCCTTATCGACCGTCCCTTTTCCGCCATTCAGAGCTCGGTCCAGGACAACAAGGCAGCGCCGCACGCCCTCGAGGACCTCGTCAAGGCCTACGCCAGGGCCACCGTCGCAGCTTCCCTCGCCACGCACTGCCTCACGGCGTTTCCGTGGCAACGAGCCATCGAGGCAGCCCAGCGCTACGACGTCCAGCTCAAGGAGCAAAAGTCCAAGGGCGACGACGATCTCTTCCGGCAGCTGCCGCTCCTCGGCCTCGTCTTCAGCGTAAAGGACTGCATCAACGTCGAGGGCCACGCCACCACCATTGGCTGCTCCAGCCGCGTCGACGCCGTCCCCGCATCGTCGGCTTGGATCGTGCAGCAGCTCGAGGACAAGGGCGCCATCATGATCGCAAAGACCGCCTGCCCGCAGGCCATGGTCTCCAACGTCACCCACTCGCCGCTGTGGGGCAAGGTGCGCTCGCCCTTTGGAGAGCGCTACGAGGTGGGCGGGTCCAGCGGAGGCGAGGCCGCCCTCGTCGCCATGGGTGGCAGCGCCCTCGGACTCGGCACCGACATGGGCGGCTCCGTCCGGCAGCCAGCCTCGCTCACCGAGCTCTTCGGCCTCAAGTTTGCCTCCGACACGTTCCAGTTTGACCAGGGCAAGGACTTTGTCACTGGCCTCCCGGACACTCCCATCCCGGCCACCGCACCTGGCTTCCTTGCAAGGCATCTCAGCACCATCCAGGACGTCTGCGCCACCCTGACGCTGCTGGGCGGGACTCTAGAAGCCAAGCAGAGCCCGGAAGATGGCAGGCTGGCTGTATCGACCTACGAAGCCTCGCCCGAGGTCACGTCCGCGCTCGACCGCCTGGCCTCGGACTCGGACGGCCTAGGCAAGGTGACGGCCGTACCAGACTTGCTCGGCGACGGCGACGCGTGGTGGGCCGAGATCTGGATGCGACACGCCGGCTCTCGAGGCTTCCAGGCCGGGCTGGACATGATCGGCGACGATCCATTGGTGAGTGCCAGAGACGACGTTCGCAGCGTGACCGTCGCAGGACACACTCCCCCGCTGACACTTTCGCATCGCTGCGCCGTGCAGATCCCCGAATCGATGTTCAACACCCGGCCGAAGGTGCTCTCCCAACACGAGTACTCGGAGGCCCAAAAGGACCTCGAAGCCCTGATCAAGGGCCTCGAGGGGAAGATGGGCGGCGAGGGACGGGCTTCGAGCGACTTGATCCTGTGCCCCTCGTTCAGCTACGGCGGGCCCATCTCGTCGAAGTCGTTCCAGGCGGCGCAAAAGGCCGAGATCTGGCTGCAGGCCATCAACCTGCTCGATTGGCCGTCGATCTCGATCCCCTTGCCGGTCCGGGACGAGCTTCGACAGACGTGGAGGGAGCAGTCCGAGGCGGACAACGAGGGATGGAGCAAAGGGCGCCAAGGACAGGAGGTGGTCGAGGTGTGGCAGACGATGCAGCAGGAGGGCCTGCCCGTCCTCAATGGCCAGGACGACGTCTGGTCCAGAAAGGCGGATGAAAGCGCAGCAGCGGACGAGACAGGCGGCGCGGAACAGAGCGGCCAGGGGGGCGCAAAGAGGCGAAAGGTCGACGGCGAGCGGCTGCCAGTTCTCAGCGTGCAGCTCGTTGCGCGGCCAGGCAAAGAGGCGCTGCTCTTGCCCGTCGCTCAGCGGATCATCGACCTCGCCCAGCGTTGGCGCTGAACCCGCCTTTTCGCCGGGATCTCGGCGTGAGGCAAGCCATGCCGTGTCACCGGCCGGGAGTTGGCAGCGGCTACGGGCGTTGCCCTCGGCGGTACTTTCGCTCGACTTGATCGCCGTCCATGCCCACGCCAACCGAGGACGAGCGAGAAGTGGCATCTCGCTACTCATCGGCAGGCAGAAAAAGGCGAGAGAAATCGCGAGATAATTGCGATCACGCTTCGTGAAGATGACACTCTTTGCCCGAAAGCGGGCATTCCGATCAAGCAGCCAGGTCAGGCCAGACCGGAGCACGGCCAGGCCATGCTCTGAAAGACGGTAACGCAGCCAAGGCAGAGCATTATTGCTGAACAAGCACGAAGGGGTCCGAATGATGGCCGGGCGAGACGAGCCGCTGCCAGTCGCTGAGCCTGCCGCGCTGGGGCCCGACGCGTCGAACGCCGAGCCGCAGCCGAATAGCCCGAGCGACCGACCGAGCGACGCATCGACCGGCAAACAGGCTGAGAGCAGCGCCGCGCCTGATTGCACCCCTTGCATCTGTCCCTCCGCCTCTTGCCGTCACTGGACAATCGCTGCCTCCATGGTTGGCCCATTCACCCGGTCCACGCCTTATACATAGCGCTGACCGTCCAGCAGGCTGGGCGAGGCAGACGGCGTGCCACACCGCGCGCTGCTCGGCCGCCCGGGCTGCGGTCTCGGTCGGATGCACCTCGACGATCAGGCACGCGTCGACTGTCGCAGCCTTAACGGCTGGCTGGCTGGGCGACTGCCAGGCGCGCTGGCTCCCCTGCCAGCCGGCCTCTTGGACCATGCCTAGACGATGCGTCCGTCGCTCCACGATCAGCCTCATTCCAAGCTACGGTACCGCACACACTGCACAGCTTCGGAGCATAAGCCTTTGTCGATTGCCCCGCCTCCTGACATGGCCTGCCTCGAACGCCCCTTCGACGACGACGACGACGACGACCGTGGTCGAATCCATGCCAACCATCACTTAGAGTTGCGCAGATTTAGCTGGCAGCTGCTAGAGTGGGCTCGGTGTGACGGCCGCCGCTCTGCTGCTCCCGCCAGGTGCTGCGATCCAGGCACATTCTCGATCCGGCAGTTCAGCCCGCGCGGCCATCGGCGTACGCCCCTCCCCCGCCAGACGAGGTATACCGGCTCCGCACAGGGGAGCGCTGAAGCACAGCCGGCAGCCGTCCATCTCGACTACGGGACGGCCTAACAGACGCCGCGCGGACCGACCAGTGCCACTGCCGCTGCCGCTGCCCGACTGGCGTAGCGGAACGACCCGACCGTCTGTCGGATTGTCCGCCCGGTGAGACTCGCTCGACGGCCACCTCGCGGGCCGCTCTTGGTCTACTCGCGGCTTGCGCGCCAGGCAGCGTGCGATGCGGGCTTCGGCCCGCGCCCGACCTCAGTACATACAGTAAGTACAGAAACAGCGCGAGGCAGAGCATGCGACAATGACCAGCATGCTCGTCGTCGTGCCGGAGGATCGCCGCTGTGCAGCTGCTCGCCCCGGCCTCGTCGCCAGCCGCAGGTGGCGAGGGACGACGGCGAACCGCGCGCACCACCGTATATGTACCAATCGACGTCGCATCCCGAGCGCTCACGCAGCACGACCCGGCCCGCATCGATGCCTACCGGCCCATGCTGCGCTCCTGCGGGTCTGACACGCCTGCACTGCCGTACATGCTGCGGGTCGGCGGCGTCCCCACCGAGGCCTATGCCTCCGCCTGGCATCTTGCGGCCGGACCGTGCGCAGATCGCGGGCATCCCTCTCTGTGCCATCCTGCTTTTCGAGGTCCGCATCGGCGAGGCCGCATTGCCATCGGAACCAGGACCGGGGTACTTGGCACGGACTCGGCCGGCCTGCTCTGGATCCCCCGACGACGACGACGACGTCCGAGACAGCGCTTCGCCCCGATCACCGAGCGGCGAAGGAAGTGTGCCCGCCCGACGAAGGACCCCCACCGAGAAGCAGGCCCAGCGGTCGCGGTGGGTCCATTCATATCCTGATTGCCTTTGTCCGACGGCCGACTGCAGCCTTCGCCGACGCACAGGTGCGCACGTCCGGGGCGCTTTCGACAGCGTAACGCAACGCGACGCGCGCTCGAGCTCGCCATGTGTGCTGCGCACGGTCATGGGTCTTACTCGCCTGCCTGTCAGCGACGACATGAAACGCTGCCAAGGGTGGGGCCACATCATATCGCTACCGCCCTCAGCAGGCAGGCAGGCCAAAGAGGGCGGATGACGGAAGGAGCATGGCAGGCCAGGCGATGCGATGCGGTGCGATGGTCCACGCCATTTCATCATCATCGGGGACAACCCGACGGGTCTGCGACGGCGGACAAGGTAGTTAACGACGACGTCGACGGCATCAGCTGTGCCGCGCTCCGCCCCGCCCCGCCGCGCGATGCAGGCCGTCCTCCCGCATGGCATGTCATGCCAAGCCACGGCACAAAGGCAACGTCGTCGTCGTCGTCGTAGTCGTCGTGCGAGAGATCTCGTCGATGGCAGGAGCATGGGAGCATGGGAGCAGGGGAGACTCGTCGGCGAGCACAAGGGCCAGCCAGCTCTAATCGCTCGTTGGCACGGCGCCCTCGGCCTACTCCTGGCGCGCCTTGGTCGCTGATGCAAGAGGCTCGGAGAAGCCGACAGCTGACGCCGGACGTCGCCCCAAGCCGAGTCTATGTACCTGTGTAGGGCAGCTGGCCCCCCCTGGCCCCCTTGGTCCTGCTTTTCCCACTCCGGCGTCGCCCCTGCCCCTCGCTGTCGGGGCCCACTCCGGGCTGCAGGCGCAGCGGTCGGAGTCGTCCTGAAGGGCGGCGCAGCAGCTGATGCTCGACGCGGCGGTCGGTGACCAACGATGCCGTCCGAAGGTGCTGTCGGCGCTGGTCATGGTGGCAGGGGGCCCTTGGCATGGCATGGCCTGGCAAGCAAGCGTGCGTGCGCGAGTGCGTGCGTGGCCAGGCCAAGCCTCGGTCTGTCGGTCGGCGAGCAGGGCCAGCGCGGCGTACGTCTGCCTGCCCGCCTGCCCGCACGGCGGATGCAACCCGAAGAGCTAGGATCGCAGGAGGCATCGAAAGAAAGCGACAGGAGAAGGAGAGGCGCAGCCTAGAGGCCTGGCGAAGCACGAGCGAGGCGCGAGGCAGGCAGGCAGGCAGGCAGGCAGGCCACGCGCCGACGACGTCGTCGACTTGAATTTAATTCTCCCTTGACGTCGGCCTGGCAGCCAGGCGAGCTCGCTTGCTCGTCTTTCCCTCCCCCCTTCTCCTGCCTGCCCNCNCCNCATNCCCNNCTNCNCC